AGGGTACCATATATTATTTGTCTTTCTATTTTCTCTAGCACTTAACAACATATGGTACATAATAGTCACTTAATAAGCATTTGTTGAATGGAAAAATGAATGAATAGCATTCCCCAATCTACAAATGGTTATACTCCAAATTTTCATTTTAAGTTGGTTGTTTAGAACTTGAAATGCATACTTCTAGTGTTCAGGCTCACAGGTTAGCCTCTCCCTTCCCCCTCCAAAAACCCCAAAACTCTGCTGAATCCATAATATGCCTGAAGTTTTCCACTAGAATCATCCTCTGATGTCTCATTATAGTGTACAGATAACCTGTGATTTTTAAAGCTGTACCAGAAGAACACGAAGGCTTTGGATATACATCTGAAGCCATACTGTATGTCTCTCATCCAAGATGCCGCCTAACTGAAACAGTGTTATCTGAGAAGATTGTCTATCAGGTGATGAATTTTAGTGGCCACAGGAATTCATGAAGACCCTCTACTAAAGTGTGGAGGAGTCATAAGCATATGTCCGTGTATAGATTACCTCCAAGGATAAATAACCTCCAATGATGTTTTCTATGGTCTCTAGAATAAAGTATAAGTGTATGGGCCTAATGTTTAAGGCAGTTCATGATTTGGCTCCAATCTACACTTTTAAGATTAATTTCACCTTATTCTCCTTCCCAAATTCTATGTTCCAACAGAAGTTGGAACTACTCACTGTTCCCTGAACTTGGCATTCCATAGCTCACTTCCATTCATTTGCACAAGCCATTACCCAGTTCTCAAAAGCACTCCCTTCAAGTCTGCCCAGAATCCTTATCTTCTTTCAAGGCTCAGCTCAAATAACTACTTCAAGAAACTTTTCCCCAGATCCATCCCCACTCCCCTAAGTTTTGAGTGAAGTCTACAGGTTGTATCCTCCTTTCCCATAGCAGAAATGGGAACTCTGGAAGGACTGGGGGTGTTTATTTTTGTCCTTATATCTCCAGTTCTTCTCAATAGTGCAATAATGCACTCAATAATGCACATAGTAGGTACATTAATATGTTTATTTCCTTTTTTTAAGGCAATTGTGGTTAAGTGACTTGCCCAGGGTCACACAGCTAGTAAGTGTCAAGTGTTTGGTCTGAGGCTGGATTTGAACTCAGGTCCTCCTGACTTCAGGGCTGGTGCTCTATCCACTGCACCACCTAGCTGTCCCTAATATGTTTGCTGAATTATTTGTTAAACAAAATCACATATTATTGTTGAATTATTTGTTAAACAAAATCATAGATCCTTGATACATTGAAGAAGCAATACTTAAAGCATAAAACTGTAATCATGGTATCACTGTAACTCAGAACCATAAATAACAATGTTTTATGGGGAAACTTGGAATACTGGTACCTCATCTCCCTCCATACAAATCTGGCAAGAGGAACTCCCTTCTCTATCTTTCCTACTGAGCAGTTTGAAGGGTGCCCACTTACGATGGTTCCCGTGTTCTGGAGAAGGATTTCAAATAGGGTAGGAAGAATAACTAGAAGGCAGGGCAATAGTTTCATGCCAAGATGGCTTCTAAGGTTGTCAGAGGATGAAGAATTGGAGTCGGGGCTCTGGGGTAAGAACCAGAAATGGGAAGTGAGGGAAGAGTAAGAAAATAAATGACCAATGGGTACTTGGGATAGTGAAGGAGAGCAGAAGCTGGATGAAATTATTCATTCAGGAAGAATTTGGAGGCAGAGGAACTAAGTTAAAATCCCAGTTCTTCAACTCACTGGCCTTGGGTGAGCATTTAAACTCTCTGGGCCTCGGTATTCCTAGATATAAAAGATGAGTGTTGGACTACATGGCTTCTAAGCCTCCTTTCAGCTCTATATCTATGGTCCTAGGAGTCAAAGCATCAAGGGAGGAGTGAGTGAGAGGCAGCAAAAAGATCTATAACAAAAAGGAGTATGGAAAAGGAAGAGAACAGGGAAATTCCCAGGAATGCTAAGGAGGGAAGTAGGATTCCTTAAACATCCAGCCACCTGGTTATTTCCAGAAAGGGGTGAACATAAGTAGGCCATCCATAAATTGAAGCTACTCTGTATTTCAGAAAATATGAATGTAAATTAACTTCTATTTTTCATGAGATGAGAATATTTTGACCAAAAGCCCAAATACCCTCATTTTCCCAAACTGAGTTTAAGTACTTATTTAAAATTTAATTTAAAAAATAATTTTGAGTCCCCAAATGCTGCAGCTGCAAGACTTTGATAGTCAGACCAGTGGTTCCAAGCTTTGAGAAAAGCAAAAAAAAAAAAAATTCATCTCAGCATGAAATGCAGGGCTAACAATGTTCCCTGGTCACGTATCTCCTTTTAAAGCAGCCATAAGAAAAAAAAAATCAATGCCATATCTGAGATGGAGTTTTGGGAACAAGGAATTGTCAGATAATAATGATAAAGTTACTTGCCTATTATCAGATCCAGCATTAACACATTTTTAGACACACAGACCAGTTGTGATGGTAAAGAATTTCCTATACTTCTCTTGGCCTTTAACCTTCAAACTGTTAGTAGATCTTTCACTCCTACTGTGCCTTAATAAAACAACAATTGTGTGGGAAAACAGCTTAATACATTCTTAAAACACACACACACACACACACACACACACTGAGGCAAGCATTAATTGATCCAGCATGTTGGCAGTTTTAGAGAACCTTATTAGACAGGAACAAATAATACAATGGACTTGAGGTTGAATCAGAGGCTGATTTTAAGACTCCAGGCATGGGTACAAGTTAAGAAAGCATTGTGCTTTGGTTATTAAAGACTTTTTTTTTAAGTCATAAAGGACTAGCTCTCTTTTCCAACTGCATGATCGCTGCCACTCCTTGCTCAAATGATTAAATATTATTGAATTATATTTGGCTTATGAAAAGTCCAAAAAAGTTGCAATGCTTTAATCATAAAGTTTACTGAGAGGCCATGCAAGTGGATAGAAGGCTAGAACTGGAGTTAGGAAGACCTAAGCTCAGATCCTACCTTATGAATCAGATATCTAGACCTGCAAGGCACCCCAAAGAGCATCTAGCACAATCATCTCATTCTACAGATGAGAAAACTGAGGCCTAGAGTGGTTAAGTGACTTGCCCAAGGGCACAAAGGTAATAAGCATTACAGATAGGATTTAAAACCAGGTCTTCTGATTCCCCAGACAGCACACTTTCCATCATGCCAAGCTCCAATTGACTGAGAAATTACTAATCTTCTCAGTGCCCAGTGTGCATCAGTGGAGGAAGCTTGCATGCCTGAAGTTACCTGCACCAGTAAAGTCACATGTCCATATGAAAACAAACAAACAAAAGTTATTATAACATTCCTGACGACAAAGCAAGTCCTAGACCTACAGTATCCTTCCCAACTGCCCTGCCCCTTGCCAGTAAACAATCACTTTCAAGAATGCATGCTAAATATTTTTAGGGTTTTGTAGGCAACCAACCGTTCTAAGACAAAGACATTTTCTCTGTTTACCATTTGTTATGCCACAGAATATTATGTGGGAAGGCTTGAAAGTTCCCCTAAACTTACTAACCTGTTTGCTTTAAAGCCAATTACTTTCCTCATGTAAAACAGCTGGTGTTAATTTCTGGCTGGAAACCTACAACATATCTAACTAATAAGTGATATTTTCCCTTTGATGGATATGGGCCCTTGAAATGGAAACCTGTCCTTGAAGAAGGCATTTTCTGCCTGCTTTTTCTCTCCACCACCTCTCCTGCACCCTCCCCCCCACTCCTTTCAGCTAATGGCATTCCACTTTATAAACCTCACTCTTTCAAATTAAAAAGATCTGTTAAAAGAGAATTTCGTTTTTTAGGTGATTCCAAGGCTCACCATGTGGGGTAGTATCCGACAATCCTATTCCTACATGTCTTTGGGGAATTATGTGTACACAGCAAGGAGGAGGGGAGGAGATAGGGTGCCCTTCTAAGGAATCTCTTTATGGGCACACATAACAGGTGCTATTTTGGGCTCCTGGGGCCAGTCCACTAAAACCGAATACTTTGTCAAGCCTGCTTTTTTTTTTCTTGTTGTTTTGTTTTGGTTTTGTTGTTCCTGCAAATGCAGATATTCTCCATCTGCAACTACACCTGCAAAAGGGAAGTATGCTACGTTACAGTATCCCCTGCTTTGCTCGCAACAACTAAGAAACACTTGCCCTTCCCAGCTTGCAATTAGCTCCTCACCAAACACAGCTCCCAAGTATGCTAATCCCTCCATACTGTCGGCCTGTATGACACAACATACAGAAACTGGCCATAACTTTATGCCTTTCAAACTTTCCTCACTTGCATCAGCTTGAGGCTGTTTACAGTTATGTCTCCGTTACCAGTTTTCCTTCTGGACAGCTGCAGCACTTCAAAAGTATACATTTTTATTTGCCACTTGCTCAAGCCCAGGAAAGAAGAAAACACTTAATCTTCCACGAAGAAATGAAACACAACCTGAAGGAACAAGTTCACCTTGGGTGCGCTGCAGGGAGAAACCCTAACCTCTAGATACCGGCACTATTGGCTCAGGTGGAGCTTTCTACCTGATGGCTCCCAGTGACAGCTATCCCAGCTATCATAGAGATCAGTTCCAGGGCTGGCAATCCCCAAGGAGAACTGTCTCCTGTCCTGGTCCCTCCAAATCCAGGTCTTCTTACCCATAAAGTTTTTTCATCCTTTTTCACTCTTTCCTTACCGCTATGTAGAACAAACTCTGGGTCTCTCCAGATCCAGCTCTCTAATCGCCCTACCGTATCACCATATGAAAATGACCTTTGTCTTAAAAAAATAAAAAAAGCTGGCATCAAACCCCCCCAAAACTTAAAAGGCGCAGAGAACAGTCAGTAGCTTTCAGCACAGGATCTACTTTCCAGATGGAAGCAGGCGCTAGCTTTTTCTCGGAGTCTCCATCCCCAGCGCCTCCTTCCTATCCCCACCCCCACCCCCTGCTTCCCGAGTGCCCTCCTCCCAGGCCCCCGGTCGCTCACCTGGATGGGACATCGTGGTGGTTTCGTTGGTGTTGGTCCCCACATTGTAAATGACCACCGCGGAGGCGTTCTGCATGAAAGCGTGCCGGATTTTGTCCTTGTCAGAGCAGTTACCCTTGGGGATAAGGGCTATCCAGTGCTTGACGTGGGCCGGGACGGCGAACTTGGTGTTGGGGTCGCAGGCCAGGCGCTCCTGGACGGAACTGGCCATGGCTACCCGCCCGTGGGCATCCAGCTTGGGCGAGTGCTCGCCGTAGCGGCCACACTCGCTCTTCTCGCTGCGCAGCTCCCCGGAGGCGCCCAGCGCCCCAGCCGCCGCCGCCGCCGCCGGCGACCCCGGCTCGATGTAGGTGATGTTCACGAACGCTGTGTACCATTCCTCCTTCTCAGCTACGGTAAAGTCCAGGCACAGCAAATGCACGAAACAAAAGGAAAGCAGCCATGTTGAGAGAGCCAGACTGCGGCACGCTTGGATGAGAGACATTGCCATCTTTCTCCTCCGCCGGGCGCCCCCCCCCCACCCGGTCCCCGCCCCCCCGCGCCCTCCCCCCACCCCCGTCTTTGCAGTTGCCGTCTCCCACCCCCTGCCGGGCTCCTGCTGCTGCTGCGGCTGGTGCTGCCGGTCTGTCCGGTGTCAGTGCTGAGGCTTCTAGGACGCGCGGCTCCCGCGGCTCTGGGCCGACTGCTGTCCTTAGCAGCCGGGGAGCGGCTGTTTCATGCTCTTCGCCCAGGGCCCGGCGGGAGGGAGAGGAGGCGCCCGGGCGTCGCTGGGGAGTCGGGCTGGCCAATGGTCCGGCTCCCGCTCTGGGTTGCTTCTCCTCCCCTCATAGGGTGGTAGGGGGAGGAAGAGAGTGCGAAGCGGCTTCGCACCCACTGCTCCAGCTCACTTGGGAGTGGCCTGAGCCTCACCAGGGGTGCTGTGGGTGCTGCTGCCCCGAGGAGGCTCGGGAAAGGGAGGCAGTCTCTCTGCGCGTCCTGCTGCTGCCGCCGCCTCCGGGCTCTCCAAGGTCCGCGCCGGGCTCTTTTCTCTCTTCACTGACATGTACAGGGAGGAGAGGGCTTGTCTGCCGCGGTGGGGAAAGTAGCAGTCTTTGGGACTTTGGGGAGGACGGAACCAGCAGAGGAGGAAACTGCGCGTGTATGTTTCCGTGTGTGTGTGTATGTTTTCGTGTGTGTGTATGTGTGCGTGTGTGTGTCTGTGTGTGTGTATAATATGTGCGCCTGAGGAGGAGCTTAATGTGATGTCAAAGCTTCGGCTTAGGTTTAGCTGGCCTTTCTCCCTCCTTCTGTCTTTCTCGACAGCAGCGACACCTGCTGGGTTAATTCAATTTTAAAAACATTGATTAAGCACCTACTGTGGGCCAGGAGTCTCAGCAACTGTTTAGCAATCTATAGTCTTAGTTCCCTGGGGCACCAAGAAGTATTTTGCAAAAGGTTTGAACCACACCGACAACATAAAATGTACCAGTCACACGAATTAACATATTGAAATACCTTAGCAAACTTTAAAATGTTATTCAAATAAATTATCGTTCTATCTAGTCCTCGGGGATAGAACTTTCCCAAGTTCTTGTGGAAGGGGCACTCTGTGAGGTATGAACCTAGCCCATCCCATGATCCTATGCTGCCCTTCCAACCTCCCATTTTAAAATCAGACCAGTTATATTTATTTTCCTATGAACAACACTCTATTCTTTGTGTTCATATGAAAAAGAAAAGGAATAAGACGTTTCCCCATTTTGTTTATTTGTTCTTGTTATTGTAGCTTTCAGTGGCAGATTTCCATATCCAGGGGAGGGAAGTTTGTTATTAGAGGGCATCAGTGCAGTTGTAGTTAGAGATTATAACAAGTCGATCAAGTGACAGTCATCTCAGAGTATAGTTCCAGATTTATGTTCTTGAATCTATGATACTGGATATACTTGATCAAATAAAGTTTCTGGCGATCACAATTCACCATTCCCTTAGCTTTGAGCATCTCCTCAGTCTTTGAGAACCAAAAACACCTGTGTCTTACTGGGAGTGTGGAGAAGGGATAGGAAGGGAATAAGCATTTATGTAGTTTCTACTATGTGTCAAGCACTTTTACAAATATCATCTCATTTGATCCTCACAGAAACCCTTCAAGGCAGTCAATAGCATCCCTGCTATTACCCTCATTTTATAATTGAGTCAAACAGAAGTTGTGACTTGCCCACAGTCACACAGATAGTAAATGTTTGAGGCAAGATTCAGGCTAGAACCTTCCTGACTCCAAACCCAGTGCTCTATTCCATTTCACCATCTAGCTGTCCTCTTCTTAAATTACCCTGTACCTACTTGTCCATTAATATGTTGGACCCCCTCAGTATGTCTCCCAATTCCCCATACTCTTTTTTTTCTTTTTGGTGAGGCAATTGGGATTAAGTGACTTGCCCAGGGTCACACAGCTAGTAAGTGTCTGGTCTGTGGCCTGATTTGCAATCAGGTTCTCCTGACTCCAAGGCTAGAGCTCTGTCCACTGTGCCACCTAGCTGTCCCCAATTCCCCATACTCTTAAGAAATTTCATTCAGACTCAAATTCAACCACAGAAAATATGATTTGTGGGGAATTAATGTAGAAATGTAGGCTATTGAGTTGGAAGCTACCTTAAAGATTATCTTGTTCATTGAAGACTGTGAGCTCCTTGGGGGAGCAGGGACTAATTTTTTTCTGTCTTTGCATCCCCAGGGCTTAGCACAGTTCAGGGCAAAGTTCTGGTGTTCAGTCAAATCCAACTCCTTGTGACCCCATTTGGGGTTTTCTTGGCAGAGATACTGGAGTGATTTGCCATTTCCTTCTCATTTGACAGATGAGGAAATTGAGGCAAACAGGGTTAAGTGAATCACCCTCACCCAGGTTCTCATAGCTAGCAAGTATCTGAGGCCAGATCTGAAATCAGGAAGAATCTTCCTGACTCCAGGCCCAGACCTCTATTCACAAGGCCACCTAGCTGCCCAGGGCAAACAATAGATGCTTAATAAATGTTGGTTGATTTGATTTGATTTGCCCAACCTTTTCATATTTTAGATGGGAGAAAGTGAAGTCCCAAATGACTCACTGGATAGCAAGGTTGGGATTCAAACCCAGCTCCTCTGACTCTAAATTCTTAGCATAATGCTATACATCTGTTTCTGTTGCATATTGTCCTTGTTTATTGTTCGTTTTAGAGTATAAGCATTTTCTAGGCTATTTGGTGTAATATTTGAATTAATACCTATAAGTTATTGGTGCTTGGCATCCTGGAGGCTCAAGAACCACTAGAGATTGAAAAGAGCCAGCATCATGCTGTAAATGTTCAACAACTGGTTCTGGGGCGGGGGGGGGGGGCAGCCTACACATAATACACCTTTAAGTTTAACCTGAATCATTAATATTTTCTCCATCACTTTAAATCTAGAAAATCAACAAAACAATAAATCAAGCCCTGATTTGTAGCATTTGCCACTTTCCAAGGTGTAAATGCTTGCTGAAAATTTAACAACCATCCCTTGAGTTGGTTCAAGCTGATTTCAGCACAACACTGGAGAGAAGGCACTAATCCTATAGTCTATGGGGCAAAGAAGAAACCAGAAGTTGATGTCACAGCCCCTAGAAATCGAAGATACTGCTTCCTTCCCGCTCCCCACCCTAAATCTCCCTCTTTCTTGGGAATCCAGCACCAGAACTAGATTAGGGAAATGAATATATGAGACAGAGTGAGTGAAGAGAAAATGGGAAGGAACAGAAAAGAAAAATCTAAGACGGCTTCCAAGTGTTGTGATAAAACCATATACCTTCAGCTGTACCATAATCTATGTAGAATATACAAAGTTGTATGTGTTCTGGATAAGGCAAGAGTCTTATCATTGGCACCCAATTGACAGTCTGGCTTTTTGTCAAGCGTGAATAAGGTGATCAGATCTATTGAGTGGTAAAAAACCATGCTTTCTTCAGCATGAAAGTAACCATGCATACATGCCCTTTGTTCCATTTTTATTCAATGATGTCTAAGGGGATACAGGCTCTCCAGCCAGCTGACATTAATAAAAGTAACATATGGTTGCCTTTGAATACCTCCTACCCACTATGTGCTGATTCAATTCTCCAAAGGGGCACATCATCCAGGTCTAGATGGTTACAGGCTTACCTTTGGCACAATGTTCATAAATAGAGGAAGTATGGAGCTGCCTTGATGCAATGGATAAGCTCCCAGCAGAAGGGAAGCTCCCTGAGGGGAGGAATTGTTACATTTGTTCTCATTGTGCCACCAATACCTAGCACAATGCTTGATGCCTAATAAGCACTTAATAAATAGGGGTTGAATGAATCAATAGGTTATTTTCTATTCTCTCCTGGGGTGCTATGTCTGTAGTTTGCTTTTAAGTATTCACTTTGGGATTTTTAGTGTTTTAAATTGAAAAGAATTTCTAAATGTCTCTCTGCTTCAAGATCTTTTAACCTTCTGATTGATCATGTGCTTTCTAGTGTGATGGCTCCTTGGCACAGTAACTAGGTCTATGTGACTTTGGCAAAACTTTTTTACTTACATAGGATGGGAACCTTTCAGAAATTTGTCAGAAATATTGCCAAGCAAGCAAATGACTTATAGGGATCCTCTCCCCACGCCCCATCTTTCTTTTACTTGTATGGGGGAGGGGTATCTCTCAAATGGGGCTCCTGCTTTTGTGCTTACATATTAGGCACAGAAAAGCTTTTCTAAATTTGTAGGCAAGATTAAAATGCTTCTACAAGGAAGTGTTTATAGGAATTCTACAAGTGGAGGTTCTTAAATGGAAGCAATGTTCCCTTGGAATTATTGGTGAGCTTTCAAACCTCCCATAACTCAGGGGTGAGCTAAAAGCTTATTTTGATGATTCCAGAAAAACTGATCTGTTTGTAATTTCCCGAACTTGGTGCCTCTCCTCCCAACTTGATGTCTCCTCCCCCCCAACCCATTCCTGGAATGTACATGCTACTCATCTCTGCCTCTTATAACTCCTCGAAGCTTCCTTTAAACTCATGTGCCACCTCCTCTATGAAGCATTCCCTGATTACCTCCTTATCATACCCTCCTATTCAATTTAGTGTATGTGGATACACCCATACACATATATCTGTTTACAAATTGTAAACATACACAAGTACCTGTAAACATATTTGTTTACAAATTGTAAACAAACATATATATCAGTTTACAAATTGTTACTATATTACAAACTGTAGTCAGTCTTTCAGTCAACAAACATTTATCTAGTACCTACTATGTGCCAGGCACTGTACTAAGCATTAGTGATTTAATATGTCTATGAGACATCTAGTTTGGGTTGTCTAATAGGTAGTTGGAAATGTGAGTCTCCAGGTCAGGAGAGAAAATAGAGCTTGAATAAGTACCATATTTCACCACATAATCGTCACAGATTTTATGCCTAAATTTTTTTGCAAAAGGTAGGTGTGACCATTATGTGAAGCTTTTAAAAATTGTGCAAATACTACTTAAAAATCATTTAT